TATGATACAGTAATTGATGCTTTCCAACTGTGGTGTTGGAGAAGACTCTTGAGAGTCCTTTGGACAGGAGGAGATCAAACCAGTCTACCTTAAAGGAAATATTTATTGGAAGGACTGATGCTGAAGCTGAAGCTCCAGTACTCTGGTCACCTGATGGGAAGAGCTGACTCATTGGAAAAGCCCCTGATGCTGGGAAAGACTGAGGGCAGGAGGAGAAGGAGGGGACGGAGGATGAGATGGTTGGGTGGCATCACCGACTCAATGAACATGAATCTGAGCAAATTCCAGGAGATGGTGAAGGACTGGGAAGGCTGGTGTACTGTCGTCCATGCAGTTGCGGAGTCAGACACGACAGTGACTAAAGGACGACAACAGCAGCAATAGTTTATTTCACTTGAAATTTCATGATAAATGTGTAAAGAGTTCCTTTCATTGTGTTTAGACATATATTTTGGTATACCTTATTCATATGTATTGATAGAATGCAATATTTGCAAAATACATCACACACACACAAAAAAAAAAAAACCTAAAAAAACCTTTAGGTTCTGGTTCTTTCAAATGGTTATGGGGCTTAAAACCATAGATGCTAATTTTTCACAACAGTATTCTTTATTCTGCTGGCAAGAATTTTGGTATGTGGGCATTACCAAACATAAACAAACACAGTGCTATTATCTGAGGTTTTTCTTCCAAGCTACTGATTCTCTTCCTGCAAGCTTTGATGTTGGTGTGTGATGTGCAACCCTGTAACACACTCACCCACTTGTTCTTTCTTAGGTCCTACAAAGTTGTTTTGCAAGAAAATTGGGAATTTCACTCATTCTTCCAAACCTATTCACTTCTCTAGTATCAAATTCCACATCACTGTTTCACTTCAATAATTTTAGCATTTACAATAATGTTTTCAATGCTAGATATAATCTTTAAAATTAATGGCGACTATTCTCAACACATACAACACCAAAACTAACTTGAAATGAAAAAAAAAAATAGATACCTCGACTAAAACAAACATGTATGAACCATGACAATTATATCAAGACGTGTCTTACTTTCAGAGGTGTGAAAATGTACAAAAACGGGTCTTACTGTGAAGCATGGTATACTCATGCTTTTTCTATCAGTTCTTTAATTATTAGTTTTATGTGTATTCATCTGTCCCATTGTGAAAAAGGCACATTAAAATTTAAATTGCATCTTCACTATGAATCATACCTTTTCTATATCAAATGACAGCATTTTTCCATTTTAATTCATTCCTTAAAGTCTGATTTTTCTGGTATTAATAGCTTGAGTCATGTTGTCCCTGTCTTCAAATCTGCCTGATATATCTGCTGATTTTAAGTCATTTTGTTTGAGATATGCTAATGGGATATCATATTTGACAAAACACCATTTTTTATTTTCAATGTAAGAGATTTCTATCTTTTAATAGAAGTTACATTTAGTTCCATTATTAAATTTGTAATATTTATTCTTGTTTCTCTTAGCTGGCTGTAGTTCTTATGACATCACATTATACCAAGATTTCTCCATTCTTTTGTTAAATTTTTTTATTGTGAAGTGTTTCACAAATACACACAATGGAGATTTAAAGATTTAAAGATTTATATTTAAAGATTAATAGTTAAGTTGAATACAATTCTAATATTCACTATCCAGCTTAAGAAACAGAGTATCGGCTATAATTCTGAAGCTTCCTGTTGACTTGATTACACTCTTTCCCTGCACTGGATTTAGTACTATCCTGTATTTTGTGTAAGCAGTTCCTTTGCTTTTTCTCTATAGCTTTACCACATATATGTTGCTTTAAACAATTTAATGATCAGTTTGCTTATTATTTAACTTTACACAACTGCAATTGACACATATTTTTGCTCTGCATCATTTTATGCTGATGGCTGTGATTAATTCATTTTCCCTAATATATGGTGTTCTGTACAAATTTGTAGAACCTTGTACATTGTGTTCTGTATGAAAAGTGCTGAGAATGTGGATGGTGCCCCAGAGCTGAAGAAGGTCATAACCCTGATCCTTTGTATGAATACAACATAGTCTACTCATTTTAATAATTCAGCATTTTTCCTAGGGTTGTTTTTCTAACTTTTTATTCCTTTTTTTTTTTTTTTTTCTGGCCATGCTGCATAGCATGTGGGACCTTATTTCCCTGACCAGGGACCAAACCCACCCCTGCACTGAAAGTTCAGTCTTAACCACTGGACCACGAGCGATGTCCCCCGAGGTTTCTTGAGCTTTCTTTAAGTTTTTTCTTGCTTTCTTGAAATAGTATTGCTATGAGCACTATTTTACATGTATGTGGAACATATAGTTTCTCCAGGGTTTCTAACTAGTCGTGGAATAACTGGTAACAGTATATATACAAATACATGCATTGACAAACTCTTTGGTTCCAGACTTCTCTAGTGGACCAGTGGCTAAGGCTCCATTTATCAGTCTGTCCGACTCTTTGTGACCCCATGGACTGTAGCCCACCAGGCTCCTCTGTCCATGGGATTCTCCAGGCAGGCACACTGGAGTGGGTTGCCATGCCTTCCTCCAGGGTATCTTCCCAACCCAGGGATTGAACCTGGGTCTCCTGCATTGCAGGTGGATTCTTTACCACTGTGTCATCTGGGAAACCCTTAGTCATGCCACTGAGATTGTAGCAATCTGTCAGCAATAAAAACCAGCATACTTGATAAGCCTAGTTTATGATAGCTTTGATGATTTAAATGCTTTTAAACAGCTTGATCAATATTATTTCAAATTAATCATTTTTCTAGTTGTGTCAATCTTTAACTGGCAGGAGGAGGCCATGAACCAAGAAGCATCACTGCTCAATTAAAGGCAAAAGAGGTTGGGTAGAAAAGAGACACCTGATGAGTCTTCCAAGCAATGTATTATAGTAACTGTCTCTAGTTCATCTCTGTGGTTCATCTCTATGGTTTCCAGACACTTTGCCCATGTTGTTTGTTCTACAAGGGGCAGCTGTGGAGCAAAATTTGGCCAGTCCATATTGGCGTTAAAGGGTGGAACTCTGCTTTAAGTTCTGTGGGGAAAGAGAAGGAAGCTGACACACAGGAAAACAATAAAACCCGAGATGAAGAAAGAATGCTAGGCACTTGGGTTCAAGCTTCTGATTATTCCTTAAGCACTCTTAGACAGAATGTGTTCCAGTCATTTGCCAATTAAAAACACCAGTCTTGAATGCTGTATTCATGTCCAAATGATAAAGGTAGTGACTTATTAGTAAAACACCACACACTCGCTATCTCAAAGCTCTGCTGGTCAGAAGTTCAGTGCAGGTCTCTGGGCTAAAACCGAGGTCCCAGCAGAGCTGTACCCCTGTCTCCGCTCCCGGCCAGAATGCAGGTCCCTGCCTTCCAGCTTCTCCACCCACACTTGGCTGGGCCCGTTTCCTCCATCCTCAAAAGTCAGCAACGTCGACTCTCTCTCTGCCTTTCCTCCTTGGTCACATCTCCCTCTGACCTCTAATGTCTATTTTAATTTGCTTTCTTTAATGAATGACACTGAGCATCTTTTCACATTGTTTACTGACCTTTTCTGTTTCCTCTTTTGTGAATTCTCCATTTCAAGTCTTTGTCAACTTTTCTACTGGGTCATTTGCCATTTTACTTCCTGTTTCTTTCATGGAACTATTTCACATTTTGGAGATTTATCCTGTAGCGGTTCAATCTATTAAACTATCATCTCCTGTTTTGTGCTTATACTTTGATAATTTTATGGCTTTTAAACTTAACCTGTATTTTAATGTAGTTGATTTTGTCCATTGTTTGTCTTACTTTTCTATATATTGATGAAGAAATTCTTTTTCCCTAAAGTCAAAGGATATTCTGCTATATTTTATTGTAAAGCATATAAATTTTCCTTTTACTCATTACTCTGTCAACAGTTGTTTTCTCTTTTTTCCCAATTAATTAATTAGTTAATTAAATTAATTTAGCTGCCTTGATTCTTAGTTGCATTTTGGGCTGCTCTCTCTAGTTGCATGACTCATGGTGGGTTTAGCTGCCATACAGCATGTGAGATCTTAGTTCTCCTACCAGGGATTGAACCTGCATTCTCTGCATTCGGAGGCAGATTCTTAACTACAGGACCACCAGGGAAGTCTCGTTTTCTTCTTTTAAATAAGGAAGTTTGCCCAGAACGCTGTACTGGGCTGTCATTTTCTTACTGACCTCTAATACCAGTTCTTTTCTATTTCACATTTTCATACATGCATTAAGTATGCTTCTGGGCTCTTTTTTCTGTACCATTAATTGGTATGTCTATCCCAGAGTAAACATCACAGTATATTACCAATATATTTATAATAAGCTTCACTATCTAGTAGAACCGGAGCTCCTCAACTTGATCTTTTTCTTTAGAATGTATAATATCTTTTTGACCTTTTGCTTATTCATATACCTTTTAAAATAAACTTGTCAAGTTCCATAGAACTTGGAATTTGGATTAGAATTACATCTATAGGACAAGTGGAGGAGAACTGACAATTTTTTAACTCAAGGTCTATTCTTGACATGAAATATGTCCATTTATTTTGGTCATCTTTAATGGCTGTCATAGCACTTTATAATTTTTAGAGTAACAGTCTTACTTAGATTTGTTAATCACTATTCCTGAGAACATTATATTTTTAGTGCAAAAGTAATTACATTTTCTAACTGTTTCTTAAGTGCATAAAATGCAATAAACTCTTGTCCAATAATGATATCATATGCTACTGTAACAGGCCGTGTCTGACTCTTTGCAACCCCATAGACTGTAGCCCACCAGGCTCCTCTGTCCATGGAAATGTCCAGGCAAGAATACTGGAGTGAATTCCCATTCCCTTCTCCAGGGGATCTTCCCCACCCAGGGATCAAACCTGGGTCTCTTGCATTGGAGGCAGGTTCTTTTCCATGAGAGCCACCAGGAAAGCCCCCAGGCTCTTTATCAACCCATTAAATCCTCTCAACAACTCTATGAGGGGGAGATCGGTTAAGCATAATTGCACTTTATTTCAGCAGTCAAACCACCGCATCAATTTGGCCACCAGAATTTGGAGTAAGGCGGAGTGTGCAGAAGCGAGAAGAGAGAAGTACGGCGATTGCGCCTCTTATGGAGAAGAGACCCTGCCACAGAACAAAATGCTGTTGGTTTCCCGGTGCCTGATGAAGAAGAGGAAAGGGTGGTCTGCACAAAATCTCGGCTCCATTCTGCAGCACCGGGAGTTCCTGACCACGGCAGTGGCCCCGGCTGCCTCTGTGCCCTCCTCGTTGACCTCCACGAAACACTTGTGTGCAACCTTGGACATGGGCACATTCTTCTTAGCTGACATTCCAGAAAAGTCTGCCTTGGCTTCCTCGAAAGCATCAGTCATTCCTAAACTTCGAAGAAAAGCCTCCAAGTCATAACTTGCCTCCAGCTTTAATCTGGGAAGAAAAACTTGAACTTTCTCCTCAGTCAGCTTTTCTGGACTCGTCCAGGTTCTGAATTTCTCATATGTAAGTGCTTTTTCCACCTGAAATAATGAAGAGTTAAGTCTTAGAAGCTAGACGATAGCCCGGTACCCACCCACCTATGGGCTCATTAACTCCTCCCCCTCATGACCTGTGACTTGATGCTGAGTTCTGTTCCAGGATAATCTACAGGGTATTTCCTCTTATAAACACACCAAGATTTTGCCTCTATTTCTTGCATTTTCCCAGTTTTATGGATACAAGAGAACAACAGCTAGGACACACCTGAGACAAGGATAGGGTTTTATTTTGAACTATCTGTACCAAATTCATGTCAAGTTGGTTTTTTAGTTTGGGAAATTCTCATAACCAATTTAGTGTATTTATGATGATGATACCACTTTAATGGCAGAAAATGAAGAGGAACTAAAGAGATTCTTGATAAAGGTGAAAAAGGAGAGTAAAAAAGCTGGCTTAAAACTCAGCATTCAAAAACTAAGATCAAGGCATCCAGTGCTATCATTTCATGGCAAATAGATGGGGAAAACAGTGTCAGATTTCATTTTCTTGGGCTCCAAAATCAATGTGGACAATGGCTACAATCACAGACTTAAAAGACGCTTGCTCCTTGAAAGAGGAGCTGTGACCAACCTAGACAGTGTTTTAAAAAGCAGAGACATCACTTTGCCAACAAAGTCCATATAGTCAAAGCTATGGCTTTTCCAGTAGTCATGTATGGATGTGAGAATTGGACTGTTAAGAAGGCTGAGCGCCAAAGAACTGACGCTTTTGAACTCTAGTGCTGGAGAAAACTCTTGAGAGTTCCTTGGACTGCAATGAGATCAAACCAGTCAATCCTAGAGAAAATTAACCCTGAATATTCATTGGAAGGGCTGATGCTGAAAGTGAAGCTCCAATACTCTGGTCACCTGATGTGAAGAGCTGACTCATTGGAAAAGACCCTAATGCAGGGAAAAATTGAGGGCAAGAGGATATGGGGGGGACAGAGGATAAGATGATTGGATGGCATCACTGACTCGATGGACATGAGTTTTAACAAACTCAGGGAGATAATGAAGGACAGGGAAGCCTGGCGTGCTGCTGTTCATGGGGTTGCAAGAGTTATACACGACTTAGCAACTGAACAACATCAAATGCAATACAGTACTGTGAGTTTGAGAAACTGTTGACCAAAGAGAGAAAAGCATGACTCAGAACTCGGCTGAATGAAAGAGGGAGAACTCAGCGATCCTGGGGGAGGAGGGCAGAATGGGAAATTCCACAGGACTGTTGCTTCTAGCATCCTGTGTTTGCCCTCTGCCTGTTCTGGGGGTAGCTTCAAATCCTCCCAGACCCAGCCCTTCATTCTTGTTTATTAACAAGGAAAATATATGGAGGAGCATCTTCTCTCCACCAGCAGAAGTCCAGGTGAGAGCTCCTCTCCAGCGACAGATGTTTGGATGTCAGTTCTGTTCCTAGACTCTCCTAATTTTCTATTTTTGGGGGGTGGGGGACTTTTGAAAAAGTTGAAGTGTACGTGATACACAACATTGTGTAAATTTGACGTGTCCATGTTAGTGCCATACATTTATATGTTGAAATATAATTGCCATTATAGCAATAATTAATACCTCTATTATATAACTATCATTTATTTTTTACTTAATTTGTTTATTTTTAACTGGAGGATAATTGCCTTATAATGCAGTGCTGGTTTCTGCCATTCATCGACATGAATCAGCCATAGGAGTGTGTGTGTGTGTATACGTCCCTCCCTACTGAACGTCCCTCCCACCTCCCACCCTGTCCTAACCCTGCAGGTTGGCACACAGCACCGGGTTTGAGCTCTCTGCATCATAGAGCAAATTCCCGTGGCTACCTACTTTACCTGCAATGTATGTGTTTCCATGCTACTCTCTCAATTCATCCCCCTCTCTCCTACCCCCGCTGTGTCCATTGGTCTGATCTCTATTTCTGCACCTAATTTTCTTAAAGTTGCCATGACAGATCTCTTCCTTGCCTTATGCCAGGAGGTTCCTGATTCCATAGAGAAGCCAAGGAAATAAGGCAGACCCTACCCTCTCAGGGGTGGGCTGGCGTGCACCGGTGTGCTGGAGCTAGCTTGCATCTTCTGCAAAAGTCAACTGGTAAACCCTCGGGAGCCTAAACTTGGCCATGGTGCAGATATTTACAGCACAGGAATCAGTAAACGTTATAAATGAGGGCTTCCCCGACACCCCAGGAGCCAGATAACCAGCACACTGTCACTCTTGCACCTCCCACCCTATAAATTTACTTTCCCCCAACCTGAACCCTCTTTGCCTGTCATGGGAAAATGTCCTTTTCCTCCTGTCTAAGAAAAATTCCTCATGTGTACTTTAGACCCTTGCTCCTCAAAACTGGTCTATGACCAACAGCATCTGTATCACTTGGAATCTTGTCAGAAAGGCAAAATCTCCGGCCATAATCCCCCTAAATCAGAATCTGCATTTTAACAGGATCCCATTAGATTAATATGCACATTAATGTTTGAGGAACACTGCTCAGAGCCATCTTTTATCTTTTTCCTGTTCTTTTGTTCAGTAATTACTGGGCTCTCAACTAGCCCCTCCCTTCAGAATAAATAATAATGTTCTTATTTTTGGAACTCTCTTCTTCTTGGCTTCATCAGAATTTGTTTATTCCAGCAATTTCACTCCTAGGTGTACACTCAATGGAAATGCATACACATGTTTGCCAAAAGTCATGCAGTGGTGTTCATTTAGCACTCCTTAGAACAACCCTCTGGAGAAAGAAATGGCAACCCACTCCAGTATTCTTGCCTGGAGAATTCTATGGACAGAAGAGCCAGGTAGGCTACAGTCCATGGGGTTGCAAAGAGTCGAACACAACTGAGCGACTATCACTCACTTACTCACTTAGCACAACTCTAAACTGTAAATGCCTCAAATGCAATCCAGTGGATGCACTTTTAAAAATGAGCTCAGGCTACTTAGGACTGCCATGGGGAAGGACTGGGGGAAGGAACAGTTGGGGGATTGGGGTGGACATGTATACACTGCTACATTTAAAACGGACAGCCAGCAAGGACCTAATGTAGAGCACAGGGAACTCTGCACAAAGGTATATGGCAGCTGGATGGGAGGGGAGGCTGGGGAAGAATGGATGCATGTATATATATATGCATATATGGCCGAGTCCCTTCACTGTTCACTGAAATTATCACCGCACTGTTAATCAGCGCTATCCCAATACAGAATAAAAAGTTATTAAAAAAAAAACAACATGCGCAGGGTGGATCTGTAGACACTCAAACTCAGCGTCAAGGGCTTACCACAGCAAGATCCGTGTCCTCATCAGGCAGAAGGATGAGCATGCTCAGCTTGGCCCCCACGTAGGGCAGCTCCAGGACCTGGGCTGGCACCTCCTCCACGTGCCCCATTTTAAACTTGGCTTGCTTGAACATCATCTGTACTGTCTTCTTCTCCTGATAAAAATAGGAAACTAAAATCAAATCACGGAAAAATGAGCACAGGGTACTAAAAACTGGTATGTCTAATTCACAGAAGCCTTGTTGTTCAGTCACTAAGTCACGTCTGACTCTTTACAACTCCACGGACTGTAGCCCACCAGGCTCCTCTGTCCATGGGATTCTCCAGGCAAGAGTACTGGAGTGGGTTGCCATTTCCTTCTCCAAGAGATACTCCTGACCCAGAGGTTGGTCCCATATCTCCTGCATTGCAGGCGGATTCTTTACCACTGAGCTACTAGGGAAGCCCACGGAACATAACATATAGGTACATATAATTATTATTTCTGTGCATTTATGCTGATTGATGCAAAATCTTCATTAGTACATACTAGTGTTGAGTAATAATATTCCATCGTCCCAGCAGATCAAGTCCTACCACGTGGGAGAGAAAAAATTGATGAATAGAGACATAAAACTCTCTATATTATTCTCAGAAGAAATTGTGTTTTTTTCTCTTTTTAAAAGATAAGTAGAGAAGCACTCGCAGGGACCTTTTAATTAAAAATTTATTTCTCGAAGTTAAGAGGAAAATTAACTAATACTCAAGTCTTTGCACTGGAAGATTTATTTAGAAAAGGTATATAGGCCAGAGGGAGTTACACTTTTACTCTGAAAAGTTGCTCAATTATATAATTAGCGCTATGGCCTTGCTTTTCTTGGAGGGAAAACCTTGATGAGATGTCCAGAGCCCACCATTTTAAAACACTGCAACAAATATATTCTGGGCATGTAAACTTTTGTGCAATATGTTATTATCAAGTGGATAGAGGTCAAATTCCAAGCTGAGAGTTATTGACCTCAGCCCTTATCATATTCAAAAGTGAATGGAGATAAGTTTTTTAAAGTTAGGCATAGAAGTCTAAAAATCAAATACACAGCATGATGACTATAGTTAATACTTACTGTGGATTAATAATATAATAATATGGAATGCTGGACATTCGCTAAGAGGGAAGATTTCAGGTGCTGTCTTCAAGAAAATATATGGTAACTATGTGAGCAAATGATATTTTAATAAGCTTCACTGCAGTAATCATTTCACTGTGTATCTCAAATCCTCTCATCTTGTACATCTTAAATATGTAAAATTTTTAATTTTTAAAAAAGATCCAAAAATAAATAAAAACAAAGCTGTCCTGAACATTTGCTAGCATTTTTTTTCTTGTATTCCGAATTGTACAGCCATGAATTCTAAGGCAATAAATAGTCATAGTTGTCATTGACAATTGCGAGAAAAAGTCTAAATACACTCAGTGATAGGATAATACAAATGTAACTCGAAGGCTTAGAAGAAATTTTCTTTCAATCCAAATAACATGACCAGAGACAGAAGATCGATTTGACCAAGGATCCAAAAACAAGAAGATCAATATAACAATTATTTTGGTATTTCTCTTTCCCATTCCAATAAGAGATATACAGGGAACATGAAATTCATTCAGAAATAAATTAAGAATCAAGACAGTGTGAAATAAATAATTCTTTCCATTCCTTCACAATCTTTCCCAGCATATTACTTTAGAAAGTAGCAATATGTCTGCAAAATGTTTTCCTACCTGATTAGTCTTAAAGAGCATTCCCCTGGTGTGCTTTCTGTCAAATTGCTCATTCCACTTGCCTTTGAAATAGATGGCATTCACCAGGACCAGCTTGGTCAGAGGACCGACTGTCCCAGCCCCCAGTATCTCTGATATCTTACCTGTAAAGAACATGAGAGAAAGTTACTGCTATTGGGGGAAAATAAACTTTTCTTTTACAAAAGGTCTCTCTCTCAATATTGAAAAAAGGCTGGAATTCTGCCGTCTGGCTGCCTGAGGACTCAGGGAAATGGTGTTTCATGCGGCGCACACATCAGTGTAGTGGGAATCACAATAAACTGTGGAGAATTCTGAAGGAGATGGGAGTACCAGACCACCTGGCCTGCCTCTTGAGAAACCTGTATGCAGGTCAGGAAGCAACAGTTAGAACTGGACATGGAACAACAGACTGGTTCCCAATAGGAAAAGNTGAAGGTGGGAGGAGAAGGGGACGACAGAGGATGAGATGGTTGGATGGCATCACCGACTCGATGGACATGGGTTTGGGTAGACTCTGGGAGTTGGTGATGGACAGGGATGCCTAGTGTGCTGTGGTTCATGGGGCCACAAGGAGTTAGACACAACTGAGTGACCGAACTGAACTGAACTTGAAGCAGAGACTAACACTAGGTTTAAGCATTTTTCAGAAATCACCACTTCATAAGCCCAAGAAAAATGGCAGATTGGCATCGGGGCTTCCCCTGATGGCTCAGACAATAAAGAATCTACCCACAGTGCAGGAGATCCAGGTTCAATCCCTGGGTTGGGAAGATTCCCTTGGAGAAAGGAATGGCTACTCGCTCCAGTATTCTTGCCTGGAGAATCCCATAGACAGAGGAGCGTGGCAGGCTACAGTCCATGTTAGAATGATATTATCTGCTTCAAAACCCAGCAAACACGCACACGCAGGCTACTGGAAACAGGGTCAGAGTGGTCACACCGAGGAGGTCGCATCCAGGCAGTCTTGGCTCTGTCTCCCTTTATAACACCACCTCTCCTGAAATGACAACCGCTCACCTTCCGTCTTCTCCATCACCCAGTCATTTATGTGTTTCCTGCTTTCTTCGGTGTCTTCAGCAAAGGACAGCTCCTCCAGGTCAGCCTGATAGAACTTCTGGCAGGATTCTTTAAAAGCCTACAAATGCAGAATACCAAGTGTGGCCATATTCTACTTGGCAAAATTTCCTAAAAGTGTGAAAACATGTTTTTCTTAACATGTTTCTGGCATAAATGCTTGCACAGGGCAATCTGTACTTTAAAACTCATTTGTGCAATTAATCAAAATGTACAGACCCCTGGCACTGTGCCAGGTGCGGGACCCCAGGGTAAAGACAGGACTCTGGACCTGAGGTGGCTCACAGTCTGCAGAGAGAGAAACATATATACACAGAGAGTTGCAAGATGTTTCAAGAATATGGACAGCGGCAGCTATGCACGAAACAGCCTGCGAACTTTCCTGTCAAATGCTTAAACTCCATGTTGACCTTCTGTTTGATTTTATCTCCTCCACTATGTGGTCTAACCATGTTTTACTCATTTCTGTAAGACCAGAACTGACCAGAGTGTCCTAAACATCCTTATGGAATGATTGGAAGGCTTCAACTAGACTATCAAAAAATCCTGCAGGTCTTCTAGGAGTGGAATCATGTGTGTGTGTGTGTGTGTGTGTGTGTGTGCAGGAAATTAGGGAAAAAAGTAGCAAGGGATAAGCCACGAAATGTAAGTTGGGGTCAAATCAGGAAGGGCATTACATGCAACACGTTAAAATCCACAGATAACTCACCTCACGAAAACTTGTTTTCTGATATAATGTGCCTGGCAATTGGCTCCCATCCTCCGCCCATCCATTGTCCTCAAACATTTTAGTTTCTACGGAGGAAAGAAGATGCAGAGAGAAGAAGAACCCAAGCGACCATGAAAAGTGGAGAATGATCCCCTGTGTCTTCAATATTCCCTAACTACAATATTCAAAAATCTGCCTGATATTCAAAAATGAACATCCATTAAACAGGAGATTCTTGGAGTGACAAGTACTTATCCTGGGAAGCCTAACTAGCTGAAGGACTCAGAGTCATCTCCAAGGACACTGAAGCCCAGAGCAGGCATCTTCACTGGGCACCACCCACCAGCAGCTAGGACAAGGTTTGAGTCTTACATAATAATCCTTGGAACTGCCAACTGCTAAAATGGCCAGACTTACCCTGATCATTTCAGTAATCTTAAAATAACATCCCTCTGTGTATTATAGAGCACAATTTTTTGGATCTCACTTATTGAATAATGGCAGACTTTT